TATTAGAGACATAGACGTCAGAACATGTAAATATCATTACTTATTAGAGACATAGACATCAGAACGTGTAAATATCGTTATATATTAGAGACATAGACATCAGAACGTGTAAATATCATTACTTATTAAAGACATAGACATCAGAACGTATAAATACCGTTATATATTAGAAACATAAACATCAGAACGTGTAAATATCATTACTTATTAGACATAGACATCAGAACGTGTAAATACCGCTATATATTAGAGACATAGTCATCAGAACATGTAAATATCATTACTTATTAGACATAGACATCAGAACGTGTAAATATCATGATTTATTGGAAACATAGACATCAGAACGTGTAAATATCATGACTTATTAGAGACATAGACATCAGAACGTGTAAATACCGTTATATATTAGAGACAGACATCAGAACATGTAAATACCGTTATATATTAGAGACATAGACATCAGAACGTGTAAATATCATTACTTATTAAAGACATGGACATCAGAACGTGTAAATACCGTTATATATTAGAGACAGTCATCAAAACCCGCAAATATCATAACTTATTAGAGACAGACATCCATTGTATCCAGCACAACAGATGTTTGTTTGTTTGAAGTTAAGTGCAAAGCTACACAATGGGATATTTGTGCTCTACCCACCATGGGTATCTAAACCCGGTTTCTAGCGTTGTGAGTCCGCAGACATACTGCTGTACTATTGGAGGGCACAAGCACAAAAAGTAATCAGGTTCCTTAAGTAGCCTCAGGGATTTTTTTTTTTCCACTGGACGCCACTTTCCTTGTCAATTACTGAATGCAAAAAAAAGAGACTGCTACGAAAATGAAAGCTATTTGACAGTTGTCATTTCTATAAGAAATGTCAAAAGGGAGATAATGAATTCAATTCAAATTAATTTATTCGACATGATACAACAGAATCATGCATGTATATAATATCAACATGAAATATATACACATAAACCGAACAAGAACAAATATATGCCCCCCAGCGGTACAGTGGTATGTCTGCGGACTTACAACGCTAAAAACCGGGTTTCGATACCCGTGGTGGGCAGAGCACAGATAGCCCTTTGTGCTTAACTACAAACAAACAAATATATGCTCAAACATGTTCAGTTCCTCTCTTTATGCGTTTTTTTTTCGTTCTTTCTCACAAAAACAAAATTTTTTTCTTAATAAGTTTTTTCCTCATACTGACTGTTCAGCATATACATGCCCCCCAGTGGCACAGCGGCATATCTGCGGACTTACAACGTTAGAAACAGGGTTTCGATACCTGTGATGGGCAGAGCACCAAAAAAACCATTGTGTAGCTTTGTCCTTAACTACAAAACAACAACATCAGCACATAAAAACACTGGCGGATCAATGTTGACATCAATATGAAGTTTTAGGAATTGCAAAAAATGTCTAATTTTCCTGTAATGTACTCTTGAAAAGAAGCATTTTGCTAGATTTCTTTCCTACGATTAACCGTTCAGAAGATACAGAGCGTAACAGACAGACAGACATTTGGCTATTATATATATATATATATAATGTATAAGTAATAAGCACGTAATTTTTATCAGTCTATCTACAACTTTTAGGTTTTTCAACTTTACAAAATATTCGATGATAACATAGTTTCTACGAAATATGTGTAATGAAAAATGTATGCCTTATATTAAATTGTTTTATTGTCCTTATAAAATCGTTGTACAGTTTTTAAAGTTTAAATTTACTAGCGTACTCGTGCGATGTATGGAGAAATGCTTATAAAAGATAAAGGTTCAAAGTTCATAAGAATAAAAATATTCATGTCCACTTGGCTTGACTATTTAAATAACATTTTTATTTTAGATTTTTTATCAAAACACAATAAGTAGCATGTGGCGTAAAAACATCTCAATTAACATAAGTGTGCCTATCTTGAAAGTATTTATAAATAACGTGTGAAAAAGAAATCCATCAAATGGTTGTGGAATTTGAAAACGAAATGCAATTATAGAATTAATGTTTTACCAGTTCTGACTATAAATACTGTTTCTGTTTTATGTCCTAAATATAACAGTAATGATTGGAAGTACACAGACTATATGTAGACTTCATGTAATGAAAGAGAAAACTGGAGAAATCTTATAATCATCAGGAACTCCAGTAGCTACCCCCTTCTCACCCAGATGACGATCAACTCACCCTAAACGTTTAAACCACGTGACCAAAGTAAAGTGATACTCAGTCCTACTTTCTGCTGATTATCAAAAACATAATAAAACAGTTTAATAAAGTAATTATACCTTTTCGTGAGGCTGAAAAAGACAAGAAACTTGGGTTCGTACTCGATTCCTTACGCCACGAACTGTGCCCGACACTGACATGATGGCGGAGTCCTTGTCATCCTGGTCATGGAGATTCTTACCGAGCTGGTTAGGTCCGGTATCCAGCTCGTGCAAGTGAAAATGCAAAACGTCCTTATCGTCATCTGTACACTTTCTTGCGATATGCCACTGTCTTTGGTTACCGAATCCCGAGTCGTATCCATGACTATCGCTATCATCGGCCAGTGAACCACGGTCAGAGTCGTTATCGCTCCCCATGGCACTGCTAGTCGCACTGTTATTATGGTAATGCCTATCGATGCTGACCAGCTGGACATTAACATGGGTTTTCTCGTGTGTCTCGCACGTTCCACCAGACGCCTTGTCAGTGACGTCCAGTCGCATGACGTGTGTAACGGGGCAGGAGCTAGTCTCGACCTTTAGGACGTGCACGTGAGCACGATTCACTTGACTAACTGTCTTAAGTGGTGTAGGACATCCTTCACTGTTTCGCTTGGTCAGTTCTTGATTCTCAGGTACCACTACACTACCGTTGACCATTAGGGACACAGAGTGGCAGTACGGTCTAGAATGTTCTACATTTGTTCCAAGCATTATTAGCGCTCTGGCAAGATACGTCTACAAGCTTCTCTCTCACAAGACTACCTGCCAAGCCTCAAGCCACGGGCAGAATACCTGAGCTACAGAACAGGTTCCTACTGATCACGTGACTCATTTCAAGGAAGGCTTTGTAGGTTGATCACCCGTTTCAGTGCACACCACATTCAAACATTTTAGGTTGAGTCAAAACTTCTTAGTGACTAGAACTGCGAAATAAGATATAAGATTGTTTATCAAGCCAGATGATTTCGAAATTAAACAATTATTATTTAAGCAATTCAAATCATATACGACAGTAGCTTTAAGATGTTAAATAATTCTCGGTCAGTAATCAAGAAATATATATATACTATCCCCTGTGCCCCCCAGTAGCACAGCGGTATGTCTGCGGACTTACAACGCTAGAAACCGGGTTTCGATACCCGTGGTGGGCAGAGCACAGATAGCCCTTGTGTAGCTTTGTGCATAATTAAAAACAAAAAAAAAACTATCCCCTGTATTCCTTTTCCAAAAGATTTGGTTTAAAATCAGCGTAAGTTATTTATTGATCCAGACCCACGTGTATCCCAAGTGGTCTCACGTTTCCTATCAGGTGATAAAGTAGTAACAATGAAACATAGCTGATGTTTGCAGTACACAAGAGGCAGTTGTTAGGTTACAGATAAACTGTTTTGATCCAGTTTTGCTGTGTTTCTAGTACACAAGCAACAGTTATCAGGTTACAGGTAAACTGTTTTGATCCAGCTTTGTTGTGTTTCTAGTACACAAGCAGCATTTATCAGATTACAGATAAACTGTTTTGATCCAGCTTTGCTGTGTTTCTAGTACACAAGCAACAGTTGTTAGGTTACAGATAAACTGTTTTGATCCAGCTTTGCTGTGTTTCTAGTACACAAGCAGCAGTTATCAGGTTACAGATAAACTGTTTTGATCCAGTTTTGCTGTATTTCTAGTACACAAGCAACAGTTATCAGGTTACATATAAACTGTTTAGATACAGCTTTGCTGTGCTTTTAGTACACAAGCAGCAGTTATCAGGTTACAGATAAACTGTTTTGATCCAGCTTTGCTGTGTTTCTAGTACACAAGCACCAGTTATCAGGTTACAGATAAACTGTTTATATACGGCTTTGCTGTGTTTCTAGTACACAAGCAGCAGTTAGCAGGTTACAGATAAACTGTTTTGATCCAGCTTTGCTGTGTTTCTAGTACACAAGCAGTTGTTAGTTTACAGATAATTTGTTTTGATCTACTTTTTACTACATTGGTGCCTTTTCGTTACTTTTATATGTGAGAAATGAGATTAAACTTACTTTCCCAAAAGGGGTATTTTTTTCACTTTAGGGCGAAAATATAAACACATTTCTCTTAGTTTACCGAAACTATGATTGTATTTTAGTTATCAATTCAGACAAGCTGATGGTACTTAGACATTACATAACATTGATAAATTTATATTAAACTTTTGTTTCGGATAACAAACGTCTTAGTTACAGCTGCCTAGTCATTCCTTATTTGATTCATACTTCATATGACATTTTACAACGATTTCCTGTTATCTCACAAAGTTTCAGGTACCTCCCTTACACTTCGAAGTCAAGGGTAGGAGATAAAGTTACGTAGTCATAACAACCTACACAGTGGTGGAACAACGCCCCTGTCCTGTCTGGCAAGTATGTCAAGTCTGGGTGTAGCCTTTCATTATCACTATTATAAGTTATCGTCTAAATCTATAAACACTCACAGCAATGAACAGTTGACCTCTGAAAAATAACTTTAAATTTAAATAAGACTGTCTTTAAACTAAGTCACAATTTTATTAATATAAATAAAAGCTGTAATTTTCCAATAAAAAGCTTCATAAAAGAAGTTCCATGCTTGGCAACACGTTAATACTTGTTTGTCAAATTTCGCTCCAACATCTACAATAAATTATTACATTATTTTATTTTTATACCAAATTTTTCTCAAATTAATCACTGGTCATCTGTTTTATTTACCAATACTAAATATAAATCTATTCATTTTTAGGAAAATTTAATCTGATTATAAAGAGCAACACGAACGTAATTATATGAAACATTTAATAAGTGTATCGAAATTTTCAGCTCTAAACTACAGGCTCTTCTCTCCTTTTTAACAATTCCGTTTATGAACCGATAGATGGCGTAGCTATGGGCTCTCCGCTGGAACCAACACTGTCCAACCTTTTCCTCGGTTACCATGAACGAAACTGGATGGACAACTGTCCTTTAAACTTCAAGCTTGTTCTCTACAAAAGGTAGATGATACTTTCCTTGTTTTTCGCCATAAAGACGAAATCCCTCGTTTTCTTGACTATCTTAAATCACAACATCCCTCTATACATTTTATTCATGAAACTGAAACTGATAACTCCCTTTCTCTATACGTTTTACTAATGGAACTGAAACTGATAACTCCCTTTCTCTATACGTTTTACTAATGGAACTGAAACTGATAACTCCCTTTCTCTATACTTTTTAATCATGGAACTGAGACTAATAACTCAATTTTTGTATACTTTCTATTTATGAAACTGAGACTAATTACTCTATTTCTTTATACGTTTTAATCATGGAACTGAGACTAATAACTCCATTTCTCTATATGTTTTAATCATGGAACTGAGACTAATAACTTCATTTCTCTATACTTTATATTTATGAAACTGAGACTAATAACTCAATATCTCTATACGTTTTACTAATGGAACTGAGACTAATGACTCCATTTCTTTATACGTTTTAATCATGGAACTGAGACTAATAACTCTCTTAACTTTCTTAACTAATACGGTTGCCCAGCCATCTAAAATACACACTCTACCCAGACTATCTTTATGCACCAGCTTACCATATCTTGGAAGACAGAACTGCATTATAACTGTTACTATTCTTAAGTTGATCTGAAAGTTATTTTCAAACCTAATTTCAGACTAAAATTTTTCTACCGTAAAGATCGTATACCGATTGCCCATTGTTCGCGTCTTGTCTATTTATATACGTGCGGAGAATGTTAGACCCCTTATATTGGCGTCACTTGAAAGTAGGAGTTTTTGAACGTATGGGTATATCTATAAATTACAAACCCCCACCCCACCCCCCAACTCCACTATCTACCAACACGATAGAGAAAAAGAACATCCGATTTCTCTCTCGAACTTAAAATACTCTCAACAGCTAAATACGAAACTGAACTTCTGATAAAAAATAACGTAACAACTTTCTCGCTCTCTAACTAATACATATTCTTCATTTTATAGCTATTTAATATTAATGAATACATAATACTAATACATATTCTTCATTTTATAGCTATTTAATATTAATGAATACATAATACTAATACATATTCTTCATTTGATAGCTATTTAATATTAATGAATACTTAATTACAACTGAAATAAAATTGAAAATCCAAATGTAATTGATGTAACCTGTATTATACAAAGCATTGACCTAACTAACTAACAAACAACAGTTGATGCGGCAAGCAATACATTTCATAGTGATAATGTTTGTGTGATATAATATCACCAAATCATTTTGGTCTGGATTTAGATCTTGGTCTGGGTGTACATCTGCATCATTATTATGGGATTCTGCATACAAAAACTGAACTTTACCAGTTCCTAGCATCTACAGCCCCTCATCTAAATTCTGAACTAGAGAGTACACCATCAAATGTTATGTCTGTTTATATCGTACACAGAGACAATGGTGAACAGTTGAGTGTAAGTGCTGGGAATAACAGGGACCACAAGAGGAGTATCTAGTTGGCTCTCACACAGAAGTTGGTGTAAATATGCACGTTTTGACAAGTTTAATGATGATGTAACAAACAGTATCTACATTCCTCCATAGAGCGTGTTTCATTTGATGACTATAGAAGAGACAAGCATTGTACCTAACAGAACCTTCGACCCCATCAATATGGATCCTCCCTTCAAAGAACTGTAGTAAAATCTACACGACATTAATGAGACTCAAGGAAACAAAGAGTGCATTAAGATAAATATATACCTCAGTATATTTCAGCACAGTGTTCCTTAACAGAATACGGTGGAAGATCTAAAAAGAAATGTGCCATGTGAAGAGAGAATCCATTTGCTAACGACCATTTTTTGGAATATGATATTTCTATTGAGATGTAGTGCTGAAACAACTTTTGGTTGAATTTGAAGTATGTGCGGTTGGAAAGGTGCAACAGAGTTTATCTGGGAAAAAGTTTAACTGAGCAACACGAGCTTTCAGGATGATTGATTAAGCCCTAACTACCCAACATCTCATACAGATGATTAAATAATGTGAAACAAACAACAGAGTAATTCCGGACCAAGTTAAAGTGCTTCTATTCAGTTTTCATGAATCATGTGCTATTGCCAGACAAATTGCAGAAAGAGATCCTGCCTGGTGTTATGGGTTAAACCCCTTGTTGCTGAAAGAATGGCACATGTCTGACAGAGCTCCAACTCAAATCCAGACCTTGTGAATTAAATATTGCTCGAGCCTTCCATTATTTCCCCTTGAATTTACTGCATCTACCACATCTGAAAGCAACCTAGTCCAATAACCAACACACTGCTAGAAAAGTAAAACTTTCTAAGCTGAAGATTATTCCTACCCTGCTACTGCTAAAATATGTATTTGTATCCTACCATTATCATCATTAAATGCCAAAAAAGATTATACATCAATACTTCCAATCTTTTTTCACAAGGAAACAATTTCAGAAATCTTAACCTTTTCTCGTAGGACAACCTTTCCATCTTAGTAGCCCTCCTTTGAACACTTTCCAACAATTCAATGTCCTTCTTAAGTTTGTGGGGTATCTTTATAGATACAAAAATGTCACTTATTTAACTCAATGCAACAAAGCAAAGAGAAAGATGCAGCCAAAGAAGATGTCTCCAACAAAATCAGTTTCCACCTATATATGTTACATTGCATTTATCAACCATTTATATGGCATCAAGCCCTGACAAGGATGCGACGTATCCCAATACTTTTAGAATATTGTATGTTAAATTTGTGGAACAACAAATCGAAAACGTCTGCAGAGCTAGAGCAGTGACTGTATTGTTACATAATTAATGTTCATCAAAAAGCAAAGCTTGTCATGAATTCGCTTCAGTACATGGTTTTTCATTTTTGTTGCATATACAGTCATCATTGCAAATCCTGATGAATGTGTTTCAGTTCTGCTGCCAGTTTACTTCTCATTTGTGGTTAGTCAGTAACAAAAACGAATAGACTGTCATCATGAAAAAAAAACCTTGTGTCATTAGAAGTTCTGATAATCTGCTTGTCTTAAGCAGCAAATGTTGAATTTGTTATTTCAGATATTCTAGGATCATATGACTGAAAGTAATCCTACTGTTATGGTTTGTGAACACTTTTTGCTGACAAAGTACGATTATAATTAATTGAATTTGTTATGTGATGTGTGCACATATATGATTGCCACCATGTTTTAGTAATACAGATATGCTTAACATCTGTTCACTTAGTCTTTCTCTATGCAGTTTTGACACAAACACATGTTCCAGAAAACCATTGAAGTTGTTTCATTCTAGTTGCATTTGTGTATATGCTAATCTCTAGAAGATAGCATTTACTTTACCTATGGAGATGTTGCTGTAACTTCCTCTTTTCTGTGTGTCATAATAGACTGTTGACAGCAATGTCTTTTGCTGGTTGAGAGGATGATATTTAGAGGTTACAGCCTTTTATACGAGAACCACCAATCACGAGGAAATGCATATCATTTTTTCCAATGATAGCACTAGGCATAAGCAGACTAAACAATTTCTTAGGGCTCCAATTCACATTGATTTTGGTTTTATTCTTTTTCATAAATACTGTAACGTTTGCCAGTTTTAGTGTTGTAATAATTTGAAAAAAAAGTTTTTAATTAAAGTAATCAAAAAGCACATCACTGAGTAACAGATGGATGTTTGATGCAGCAGCAAGACAGTTCTCATTCTGACATGTGTGTGAAGTGCATGTGTGCTGATTGGTTGCTAAGTGCATTGCACGCACAGTGTACATGATTGGAGAAAGATGTCGATGTAGGGTGCTAAAGTATGAATAAAAATGGCTTTTGAATAAAAGTATTAATATGTGCTGTGTATTTTTAATTTGTGGAAATAATGAAATTATATTTTTAGGGGATGAGTAAAAAGCCAAAAGATATTGTTGCGTCAGCGAGTCACATGACCACCGTGACGCCACGTTTCTAGAACTATCCTGTAATTTGGCGAATGCTCT